CCTAAGCAAAATGGATATGTAGGTAAAATAGAGGAAGCACCCTTCCCCCACAAACCTCAAATCAGTGGAAAAAGCATTGGCAGTAGAAAACCATTGTTGCTAAGAGAAATACAGGATTGGATCTGTGAAGTCATCAGGAATTAAACTTGACTCAAGGGTGTTTTTATTTTCACTGCAGTCATAGAAATGGAAACTGGGTAGTGAATCATGTTGCAGTTCAAGATTAGATCCAGTCACCTGCCCGAAGTAGGATGCCCCAAGTAGCATCAGCTTAAAACTGCAGAAATCATCCTCAGACCAACATACGGTGCCTCTGCCTTCCCAAAAATAACAGATGCTCAGCCCATAGCAACATGATCATTTGGGGGATTTGCTAAAAACATCCCATATTATTACTATTATTTTAAGCTCTGTGTTTTCCTGCTAACAGATGCATACTCAAAGTGACTCAGTTACTGTAATGAAGTTCAGCATCTCTGCGTGGCAAGCACACCAACTCTATGGAAATTAGTTTTAATTATATATTGTGTTTAGCTACTTCTTCAATCAACAGAGTGTAAATATTTTGAATAAATAAACATGGATTCTTTGATAAACAAAATGGTGAAGGGGAGCGTGTAAAAGACAGAGCACTCTGATATTGTTCTTGGGATCTATTGGAATCTATTGGAGCCACTCTCACATCTCAGGAGTCACATATGTATTTATTACAGCATATTCAACATCCTCTCTTTTTACCTGTCTTTTCTTTTTCTCTTTCACATTTACATCTTTTTTTAAAAGTACTTATTATACATGTAAAATCTTTTTAATAAAAACAATTTTAGAAAAAATCAAAAGCTATATGAAATACAATAAAAATCAAAGCTCATAACAATCACAACGTTAAATGTACATCCTTTAAAATATGAATGTAAATTGCCTGAATTACATAAAAGAACTTTAAAAAAAAAGAATAATCCTAGTAAATATACCTATCAGGGAAAATTGTTCCAAAACACTATAAAAAAGGCCATCTCCCTATTATTAGCTATCGCATGTTCACATATTGGAATATCAACCTCTCTTTCAGCCTTGTTAGGGTTAGGGTTAAATTTATAATAATGTCAGAAAGTTGTATTTGATCCAACTTCCCCCCCAAAATGCTATCCAGGTATTCTTGAACTAATACAGTGTATGTTCAACTCAGAAAGGTAGCCTTAAGAAAATTGGAAGGCCACTGTTTAGGCAGTGCTTTTCAAACATGGCAACTTTAAAATGGATGGATTTTAAGTCTTCAACTCACTGGGAAATTGTAGAAGTTGAAATCATATCTTAAAAGTTAACAAGTCTGAGAAACACCAGCTTAAGGAATATCATCTAAAGCCATTTTTTCACTACCTAACTTCTGACTTGTAGCTCTTGTTTCCTTAGGACAAGTCCTCTAACTGTTTGAAGCTAGTGGGCACATTTGGAATTTTTGAAAACTGGGATTTTCAACACATTTGGAATTTTTGAAAGCTGGGCCGGGCAGGGTTTGCCCAATTTCAAAATGGTATCAGAATTCTACCTGTTGTTTCTTCTTGTTTGCCGTCATAGAAACTTTTATCTCTGTTTCACCTACATCCTATTTTGTGAGCAAGTGGATTCAAATTTGAAACAAGCAGCCATGTCTAATATTTATTTTCTAAAAAAAAAGAAAAAAAGTAATAGGACAAAGTTGGGCCCCATATGAGTTCTTGAAAGTGAAATTAAACCAAAGTCTTAATATAAAGGACAAACATATCCGTGAATGTTTTTTTTAAATGCACAAATCAGGTGAAGGGCAATCAAAGAAGTTATTAGTGATCATGTTGGCACCATGTTATATTTTCAGCTCTGATAACCCTTGTATTGCAAACTGTGTCTGGGCATAGCAGGAAAGTTCATTCTACAACATGCAGGCAATTTTCTTTTTGAAAGAAACCGACAGGATGACATTTTCTACAGCACATAATAAATAACCCAGCCCACACGTGTAAATAGGATGCCTGGTATATTTTCTTAATGCAAATTTATATCTTGCTCTTGTTCCCATTGATTTTACTTCCTATCCTTTGCTCTTTAAATGGTCATAAAAGATAAGTGCTGCTGTACTCCTATTACCGGGGTATCTGCCGGTTTAAATTATACAAGTAAAGTAGAGAGAATTCTAGCCTGTGCTGGAATATGATGGACTAAGGACCAAAATAATTTGCTAGCACAGTTAATTTTGAACTATTTGTCTGCCTCTTATTTCACAGTATTGCACATCGTGTGGGTAGGGAAAAGCTAGATTTGCAGACTTCCCATCAATATACACATATTCATATTGTCTTGCTTAAACCTGACGAAGTTCCTACTTGTGTTGAGCAGGAATGCTAAAATCTGCTCTAGACATCTGCACATTTACTACAGTGTTGTAGGACTATATCATTTTTTTTTTGACATTCTGGCTTTATTTGTCTAATTCATCGTCCCAGGAGCACTTTGGTTCATGAATCAGTTGTTCTTGGAAACACTGTTTGCCCTCCAGCTGCAAATTATCTTAAATGCCAATCCCCAATTCTTTCCCTTGCTGGCATTATCAGAACTACTGGAATCCAGAGAGGGCATAAAGTCAGTTTACTCAGTTTATTTTTATTTTGTTATATTTCATATCCTACCTTTCCTTAAAGAAATCAATATAAAAAGTCCTGCCTCCAGTTCCCCCACACCCCCAACATCAAAACTGAAAGACTGGGCTAACACAGATCAACATAACATCACTCAGTAACTATAGCTAAAAGTGATTTGAACTCAGGACTTCTCGTTCTTCACCAACATCGTTTATGAAATTAAGACATCTAAGCAGTGTTAGGCAGTATCAGGTTTTTATCTTGTGTTCTTTAATAGTAAATATTCTGCAGGTTCCAATTTGGATCACCGGGACCAGAGGGCTGGTCTTCTGAGCTTTCGGACTTGTGCTGGAGCCTATCAGCTCAGGGAGCTTCTCTCCCACCAGTATGTGCCCCTCACACATTCCAGTGAGAGAGGAATTCCCTGAGGATGGGCTCCAGCAAGCTCAGAAGACTCTGGTCCCGGTGATTGAAATTAGATCCTGCAACATTGTCCTGGGACACGTATTTTTGCCTTCATTTGTGAGTGAATATTCTCTTCCTTTCGGTATAAGCATTTGGTTCATCCTTAAACATATTCAGGTGACTGCAACTTGATGGACACATTGGGCTTAATAGCAGAGGCTTCCTTTTCATTAACATAGTTATAGCTTAAGTTCTGTCCTGAATGTTTTTGAATGATTACTATCTTTGTTCAGTTTTCCAGAGTACTTTCTCTTTATTTCTTCTACAAAACTTTCTTTTATGGTTTTTTAGATGTCAGCAGTTTAAAGCTGGTATCCACATTTTCTTGCTCCCATTTGTGGACTTTTTCCCTTTGGGAAGCTGGCTTGAGGACACAAAATCCTCTGTGTGGCAAATACTCATCAAAAGCTTAATCAAACTCTTTACTTTTCTTTTGCTTCTGACATCACAATTCATCACAGAAAGCAAGAGGAAAGCTGGCATTTCAGCATGAGGTTTGTAAAGACAAACAGATTTTTTAAAGCTCCCATTTCAGTATTTTTCCTAACTTTTCTTTGCCTTTTAAAGAATTTCCCCTTTTATGGGAAGACAATTTCATATCCTGTCATCTTACGTATCTGGATTTGTTCCATTCTGTCTTGGCCTTGAACGTCTCTGCTGCCATTTGCTATACACGCTTGAAATTCCTCTAGTTCCAGAACATGTTAGAGGTTCTGAAAATTGACCCCTTTGTTGTGTGAAGCCCCCCCCCCCCGTGAGGAATGATGACTCTAATTAATATCTGACTAATTGAAGCACTTGGAGACTTAGTCATGTAGCCTTCAGATATTCTCACTAGGCTAGCTTTGTCTCAAGGCGACGACTAGTTGTTGTGATGCAAAGAGGAAATTAGCAGTTCTTGATGCAACAAGCTTCTGTCTTCGCAAGTGATTTTTTTCTCATCCCCTTTGCTGATATCACCAGTATATTTTGCCCTGTCCCCCCAGCTGTGCCTATGTAACTGTGTGCTGCTTTCTATGTGCGTCACTTGCTGTAATGTCTCTAGCTTGCACCTAAATGTGGAGCATTTCTTCCAAATGTGCCTGCTGGCTTGGAAGAGTTCTTGCTTTTTTGGAAACAAATCAAACAACTGTGGCTGCCGAGCTTGGAAATTCTGACATGCTGGAGGTGGCACAGATTTTTGATATATTATAAAAACAATAATTTGACTGAAACTCAATTGATTAGATACTGTTTCTTGCTTTGTTGTGTTTCATTTCTTTGCTGAGCCAATCGATGCATATTTACTTCTTTCTGCCTTCGTGTGTATTATCTGCAGTGCTGCATAACTAGAAACAGCAGTACTAATACACCCAGCTTTAATAACTAAATCTTGACCATTGCATGTAAAGTGCAAAAGAACTATATGCAGTTCAAGGAAACGATTTTTGGTAAGGAGGAGGGAAAGTTAACAAATCCTCTTTCTTCTCTTCTGTTGATGTTGTTCCTTTTCATCTGCCAAGAGTAAAACTTTTGTCCTGAAGCAGAACTAGGCAAACTGTGGCACTCAGCCCAATTTCTGAACTGTCTGTAAGTTATCAGACTTCTGATAGAAGCCTCTCCCCAGCCAGTGAGACGATTTCTCAGCATGCTAGAAATTGAAGTCAGCACATCTGAAAGTTACTATTCACTCTGGAGACGAAGAGTTGAAAGAATTATTTCCTGCTCTTAAGACTGGAAGGAGGCAATTGATGACGCTTGTAAGAAGCATAAAACAAAGATATTTAATGCCACCTCTTATTTAAATGTATCCACCCTACCTTCATCCCAGAATCAGTTTGGAGTGTGATTAAAAATACTGTTTCTTTCCAAGTCTTATTGCTAATGAGTTACAATGCTATTGCACTTGCTACGCTCATTTGGTTCCCTTTCCCTTTTCAGTTTGGCAGGACTGAAGTCATTGACAACACCTTGAACCCCGACTTTGTGCGGAAGTTCATCCTCGATTACTTTTTTGAAGAGAAGCAGAATTTGCGCTTTGATCTGTGAGTGACATATTTCTTGGTCTTCTAAAGACTGTGAGCATGTGAAGGAAATACCAGTGTGCACCCATGAGACTTCTCGATTTGGCTGTATCTTGTCATTGGTGAGATTCTGTAAAGAATATGCAAGTGATTTGCCTTAACAGGGGGTGCACTGAAAGAAAAAATCAGTGATGTGAGATGAGATCCAAAGTGGGTCTCTTTATTCTGAGCTCCAAGGGCAGCAATAATTCTACACACATTAAAGGCAGAATTTCACTGTTCAATATGTTCCAAAAATTGTGAATATAATACATTACATTCAACATTTTTATCTTTATTTTTCCCCAATATCGTATTAATACCATTAATATAGTGTTATGCTTCAAACACCTGCATGATGCAAGGGGAAGACGTCACATGAAAGTTAAGACACTTACATTGGGGTCTACTTTACGCTGATATTAAATTTATATAATGTCAGTATAAAATAGAACCAGATATAGATGCCTTAACTGTCTTCTCCTCTTGCAACATGCCAGACATCCTTTGGGTCTTCTACTAGACATAGGAAATATTATGCTGTTTTATTAACAAATTATTGCATACTGATTTAACAATAAAATAGTAGCCCATTGATTTCTTAAGACAAAATATTCCAACTCATTATTCTAAATTATCTCCAAATTATCCCATATTGATCTTAATACATCTTTTTAGTTATAAATAAATTAACTATAGGTTTAGCAACTTTGAGAACATTTGTAATAATAATATCAGTAGTTTAGGAACTTCAGAAACAACTATTTCTTCAGACCCAGTATACTTTTAAAAGATATTTTAATCAAACAAGAAGCTATCAGTCTTAGATAATCCAAAACGGGATGTATTTTTTTTGCCAAACATGGACTGTTTTTGAAGAAAATTTTAATGTCCATAATTTCCATAATAATTATTTACCAGCAATCTTCAGTTTAGATTTTCCCATAATGTCAATTTCTCATAAGAGTTGGATTAAATTTAAATTTCCTTCCCAATATACAAATCTTGAAACTTTTAATATGAGAAACCCAATTAGAAATCAAAATGTTGGCAAAATACAAGAAGGAAATGTAGCAGCTTTCTAATTGTTCCCAAAATAATTTTTGAGATAATCAGTTGAATTCCCAAAGCAATATAGATGACAATAAAGGCCCAGTGGTATAATTGAAAATTGACAAATTAAAATCCAGAGAAAAGTAATTCTAATATAGAATATCTACGAGTCTGAGAATACCATGAAAGTTTTTCAGTATCCTATCAGTCTGGTTAAAACCCATTACAAATATTAACATAGGATTCCTCTAATAATATACATCAACTTTGGACTTACTTTTATTTTGACATTTATTCTTCCCCATCGATTCCTGGAGATTTTACACTATTTGTTTATATCTGAGATAAGTTACTAGGAACTATTAACCTAGTTCAACAAAGCGATCTAAGAATAATTATTCCAAGTTAGGTAAATGAATTCATACAAAATATGAAGCTGTATTTCTTCAAATATTCATTGACACCTTAGAACCAGTAAATAGTATATTAGATCTCATTTAATTAATGAAGCAACTTGAAAATGTTTACCAAAGTATTGTACTATAAATATTGATCCATAAATATAAGTTAAGAACATTTTTAGTTATCAGTAAAGAATACATCATCATCTGCATGTAATAATGATTTATATTTGTCATGTCTTCGGTGTGGGAAAGGTGAAAAAACAGGGGCACCAAAGATTCCAGAAATGGTCTTTATTGTTGTAGGACAGCATAATAAAATATTGAAAACTTTCCAAAAAATTGTTTTCCTACCTCATATTATACCAACCAAAATCAAGACAGAGTTCTTTGGAGTTTCTTTCTCACACTTTTCCTCTTTCTTGGTTCTAAGTGATTTTCCCCCTCCTCCCTTAATAGTTTTTTATTCATCCCCAATGTAGATCTTTCTTTCACAATGTTCCATTTCCACTAATTTGATACCTGAAATATTCTTAGATATTTATGGAGAGGTCAATAGTGCCAACATCACATTAAATAAAAGTAAAAGTAAAGTAAAAGTATTAAAGTACCCTTGATGTATTAATACCAGAGGTGGTATTCAGCAGACTCTGACCAGTTCTGGAGAACCGGTAGTGGTAGTTTGGAGAACCAGTAAATACCACCTCTGACTGGCCCCGCCCCCATCTATTCTCTGCCTCCCAAATCCCAGCTGATCAGGAGGAAATGGAGATTTTGCAATATCCTTCCCTGTCACACCCACCAAGCCATACCATGCCCACCAAGCCACACCCACACAACTGGTAGTAAAAAAAAAATTGAATCCCACTCTTGATGAATTCCTCATAGTATTTTAATAGATGAAGAAATAATTCCAGTTGTGATAACCCTTGTAATGGGCTAAAGAACCACACTTTACTCCAAATTTTAAAATTTGAAGGGAAAACCAAATACAGATAGCTCTCAATTTCCTACTGCAACCGAGCCCAACATTTCTATTGCTAAGCAAACTAGTTGTTAAGTGACTTTTGCCCCATTTTATGACCTTCTTTGCCACAGTTGTTAAGTGAATCACTGAAGTTGTTAAATTAGTAACATAGTTTTTAAATAAATCTGGCTTCCCCATTGACTTTACTTCTCAGAGGGTCACAAAAGGTGATCACATGACCCCAGAACATTGTAACTGTCATAAATATGAACCAGTTACCAAGCATCCAAATTTTGATCATGTGACCATGAGGATGCTGCAATGGTCATAAGTGGAGAAAACGGCCATAAGACACTTTTTTTCAATGCTGTTGTAACTTTGAACTACCGTTAAATGGTTGTAAGTCAAGGACTATATCATATCAAAAACTTTCTTGGCATTTGATGAAACAAGTGTCATCAAATCCAATATATCTAATTGTATACAAATTACATCCACCAATTATTGAATATTGTCTGTTGCTTGGCATCCTTTAATGAAATCAAATTGTCCCAGATGAGGTCTCAAAGGTTTGTATACCTTATAGCCTATAGGCCAAAGATTTGTCAGTATTGTAGCATCCACTTTTAATAAAGGAAGTAATCTATACATTCTGTAGTATTGAACTTAGCTTCAAAAGTTTAGTTATAAATAGAAGAGGAGAAAACTTAATGAAAAAAGGATTTTTGTATTCATGTATTCAGCAACATAGGAGTGGAGGGTAACTTAGCCATAAGGTAATAAATACCTTATGGCTAAGTTCTCAGATTTGGACTGTTACAAATGATGCCTTCCTAACTTGTGCAAAAATGGCTTGGCATTATTTAAGTTTTAGTAAATATATGTGAACTATTGCTGAAAGAGATTGATTCCCTTTGTAATTTTATGGCAAATTGTTCTCCTTGTATGCTTGGAATGAACATCCTCCAAATAACTGTCCTTTATTTTATCATCCAGTAATATTTTATTTCAGTATCTGTTAGTGAAAGATGCTAGCTTATTATTTAATATTTATCATATAATAATATTGAAAAATTTAACCACCTTCATCATTATTTGCAGTAATGTTTCTATGAAGTAGATTTCTCAATATTCTGTTTTCTACCTTAGTGACCATAAGAGTTCTCAGTCTTCAGGGAAATTCCCAGTCCTAGCTACTTCATACAGAACAATGCTGGCCACATTACTCAGTCTAAACTAGGGGTGTCAAACTCAATTTCATTGAGGGCCTCATCAGGGTTGTGTTTGACCTCGGAGGGGCATGGCCAGGGTGGATATGGCCAGCTCAACATCACTCATGTTGAGGGGTGCCTGTGGTAGCCCGAGCACTCTGCCAGAGGCACCGTGGGCCAGTCCTTCATTGTTTCCAGGGTGGCTCTGTAGGTCAGATCTAAGTGCCCCACGGGCCGGCCCCCAGGCCTTGAGTTTAACACCCCTGGTCTAAACAAAGAAAGATTCATCCCAAAACACATGCTCAGCTTCTGAAAGTTTCTCAAACTCAGAGTCCTCAAGAGAATATTTGGAAGTCTATAGACTTGTATATTTGTTAAATGAGTCGCATATAATAGTATTTATAATAAATAGCATTTGATAATTAAAAAGATAATGGAATTACATGAAAAGTATTAAGTGTCTAGGTAACTTGTTGTTAATATAGAATGATAGCTCACAATTTCTCAACATCAATCAGGAGATAGGAGTGGAGGCCTCAGAAAACAGCCTGTTCCCAATTTTTTATTCCACTCTTTCATCAGTCCCAAAAAAGATCAAAACCACATCACAGTTTCACGAGGATGTCCACACTTAACAACCCATGTAGAATATTTAGGAGTTGGAGCATTCATATCCCAAGAGCCTATCCAGATTAGGTGAGAAATGAAACCTCCTTGGAGGACTTATCTAGGATCCTCCTAACCAACATGCTCAGATTGAAGAAACTACTTGGACAAGCTAAACATTTCAAACCAACAAGAAAAGAAATCCAGATGCCATGACTCAATTTCCAGACAACTCTTGCCATGACTGAGAATCTTCATTGACATCAATCAGGGGATATTAATAGTTCTTACCGCATCAACCTTTCAGTTTAACTTTTCAAAATTCACGTATGAATTTAGCTTTTGATGTTAAGACATTCAGAAAAAAATACATTTGTTTGAAAATTATTAGTTTCATCTTTAGGATGAAGGATTAGGAGTAGTGTATTTGAATGTCAAATAATATTCCGTATTTCCTCCCTGCTAAATATTACTTGAAAAATGAAGTTTCCTTAACCTGTATACAGGTAGTCCTCAATTTACAACCATTTGTTTAATGACTGTTCAAAGTTACAACAACACTGAAAACAGTGACTTATCAATGGGGAAATCAATTTCACTTAACATCCATGTTACTAACTTAATAACTTCAGTGATTCACTTAACAATTGTGGCAAGAAAAGTTGTAAAGTGGAGCAAAACTCACAACAAATGTCCTGCTTAGCAACAGAAAGCTTGGCTCAATTGTGGTAATAAATCCAGGACTACCTGTATTACAGTCTTTGTCATATTCCATCAACTGTGCTCTTGTTTACATTTGTTGTTTTGCCATTTTCCCCTAATCTACTTCTTCCAGATGCATTAGACTTCAGCTGGCATAATAATCCAGCAATATTATCTTTTGGATGTGGCTATGGGAGACGAGGTCTACAAATGATTTGGAAAACACTATTTTAAGTAATGGACAGGAAAAGGATTCTGCTTTAACATCAAAAACCTCACAAACCCACACAGAAGAAAAAAATCTTGCTTTTCCCACCCTCTTTTTCCTTCGTAGATATTGTACAATGTCCCTGTTGTGTAGGTTTTGCAAAAGAAAAATGACAAGATTCTACATGATTGAAATGCCAGTGTGTGATCTCTGCTTCTTCTTCCCTGCAGTTATGATGTAGATTCCAAGAGTCCTGACCTGTCCAAACATGTAAGTCCACATTTTCTTCTTCATTTTCATGGTGTTTTTGAGATACTTACTCTTTGATCCAATTTTTATTGCCTATATTTCAGTACATCATATTCACGTAATGCAATAAGACAGAAGTGGAAAAAAACCTTTTGATTGATCACTCATATGATAGATGTCATACAGGCTTTTAGTTGTTTCCCCCTAACTGTACCTTTCATTGAGTGTGCCAAAATAAGTCTGGATCCCTTTATCTGTGTTTTGCTTAGAGTTGTGTGCAAATCAAGATTTCTGATTTGTTCTTCTCTTACAAGCTAGGGTCTAGAACTATGCTTTCCTCTTAGCTCCTGATTCTGTTTTTCCAGAAATAAATCAACCTTGGTTCACATTTATCTCTAAATAAACCAGTTATCCAGGTTTCCTTAAGAACGGGAGCCAAGTGTGATTATGAATTGGGTATGAGCATGATACTTATTAAGTTAAACTTCTTTACAATTTTAACTTGCCATGTGAAAGCGTCCTGATATTGGGTTAATCTATTTATCTAATAACACTAATTGTGATTTAATGCAATTGACTATGAACATTGCCAGAGATGTTTGCCATTGGTTGCTATCAGACTCAGCTAAACTAAAGGTACTAAGTTAGATTGTTACGGAGTTGTGATTGTTTCAGGTGTGGGGCATCTGCAACATATAGTTGCAGATGCCCCAAAATTAATTAATAAATTAAATGACTACATGTGAAAGCATATAAAATAGTCGAAATATTGCAAAATAGACAAATCGTAAAAAGATTTTGCCAATCTCACCTAGAGATCTCCCTCAAGAAACCAAAAATCTTAGCCTTCTTCCATTAAAACAGGGAGGAAAAATTCAAATGTCAACATCCTTGTTTCAAACTCTATAAGAATTTATGTAAGAACAACAAACCAAAAGATTAATGTTAAGAATTATTTTAATAGACTCATTTTAAAATATTGTATTTAATTGTGGGGCACAACAAATGCCATAAAGATATATTGCAGGGACTTCTATGCTTACAGTAAGAGGGACTGAATCTGGGTCTTTCAGAATGCAGTCTATGTAGGGTAATCCATTGAATAAAGATTTTTCTAAGTTGTGAAATATTACTAAAACTGCATTTTATTTCTGCCTTCCAACACATACTTTGATTCATTCTTTTGCTTTATCCTGAATTATTATTATGTTTTACATTTCAAGTAAATAAAAAACTGCAAAGAAGTATATAGTGAATCTCAAGTTCTTATTTTTGCTAACTAGTTAAAGCATGCATAAGTAATTTTGATAGGTACTCATTACAAAGTGTAGGCTTATGGGGTGACATTATAATAAATTGGCATGATTTGAGGAAACAGATACAGTCAGGATATGCTGGAGAAAAAAAATGCCAGCCTGTTTTTTTTTTAATCTACTGTTTTGCTAACAGTGGCAGATTTAATTTATGAGAATATGACAGACAAAACAATCTCAATTCTGCTGCATTCTGGATCTATAGAACAGGATCGAGGATGTCAGAGGCTGAAGAAGCAGCTATTGCACCTGGGCACACTGACTAGGCACTGAGCCTAGTCAGTGCATGATGATCTTGTTTCATGCAATTATCCGGATGCTACAGCCTTTCCACCAGCCTGATTTAAAAAAAAAATTAACCAATGCTTTTAATTCATGTAATGCATGTACTGTGGCCAGATTTATAATTTTCTAGCCACTTACCGGTAGTCTCAAACTTGTATTGTAAGAACTGTAGAAAGGAGCTACACGAGTTGACCAAAGGACTGTTCTTCTCCATAAATTAACCAGAGCACAAGTTAAGTTTTTAATAATGTCTTGCTTTAGCTCTCTAGGACAATGATGGTGAACCTTTTTGGCACCAAGTGCTGAAAAGGGAGCACTTCGCATGCATGTTTATCTGGGGTGTGACCAGGAAGAGGAGTTGCCCAGGGTCATGTGCGCATTGAAAAATTTACTTCTGGTTTCCAGCAGGCTCATACACACGTGCCAATCAGCTAACCAGCGCACATACTCACAGACCAGCTCTTCCGGTTCTTGCCACTACCACACACACACACAAAGGCCAGATGATTGTCACGTGCGCATATGCACCAGAAACCCGGAAGAGTAACGGTCATTGCCATGTGTGCCAGGCGACACGGCTTCATGTGCCACCTTAGGCACGTGTGCTATAGGTTCGCCATCACGGTTCAAGGAACTTTAGAAAGAGGGGGGAAACCCTGCTAGGAGGAGAAGTTTCATAACATTCATGTCAATTTCTTTCATCAGGATTTCCTTGGTCAAACATTCTGCACTCTGGGAGAGATTGTTGGATCACCAGGAAGTCGCTTGGAGAAGCCTTTGATGTGAGTCACTGTCATTTGTGATGTCATTTGTCATTTGTGATGTCATTAGTGGGACTTTGAGTTTCTCCTCCTCTTCCTCTTCCTCTTCCTCTTCCTCTTTTCTTCTTCTTCTTCTTCTTCTGTGGGTTCATTTTGCTACACCTAGCGATGTATAAAGCATACATGTTTAGATACATCCGATCAAAGGGGAGTCTTTATTTCACAGAAATATAGACCAAAGACTAATTTAACTTTGGGCAAAACCAGCAACCAGATATTAGATTCTTTTTGGTTCCAGTTATTATGTCTACGTCAGCTTTCCCCAACCTGATCCTCTCTCTAGATGAGCCTGGGTCACTGATGCATGGAGAAGAGCAAAATATCAAGCCCACATGTCATAAATTCTTCTCAAGTTTGTGGAAATCAGTGTGTAATATTTTGTTCTAAACCTAGACCCACTGAAAATAAAGTCACCAAAACAATTTAGTCATATAAGCATTTTTAAAAATAATAAATACAAAATTCTATTTTTATCTCTAGTGAATTTGAGTTCACATATATGAGCCTCAGAGAAGATCTATATCTTGAATCTTCTCTCCTATTCCTCATATATGTAATTGGCATATTTTATAACTTTTTATATTCCCTCTCAAATGCATTAACATTCAAGGACATCTGCCTTTTACTGAATTTACCATCTGCATTAGCTTGTTTTAGAACTAGCTCTGTTAGATACTTTTTCTTCATTTAGTAGAGAAACATGATTGTTTTTTTTAATACAGTATAGCACTCCACTTTTGAAAAATTATTTTTAGTGCTGATTCTATAGGTCAAATGGATTCACAACTAATTCCAGCTTCAATTTTTGGCACGTTTTAAAACTGTATACTGCCTCCTTCTGTAGCCAGAACATTAACAGGAAGCTTTGGCTTACGATCTCCCAAAGAAAAGGAACAGAAGCCTGAAAGTGATGGCTGTGTGATTTATAACAAATTGCTCTTTGTAGTGGCATCCAAATATGTTGAACAGTGGCTTGGAGAATACATGGTTTCTTAAGATAAAAGTAGTCCTTGTCTTAGGACCAGAATTGGAACTAGAATTTCCATTCCTAACAAAAGGTGGTTATTTAGTTAATTGCACCCAATTTTACAACCTTTTTTGCCACTGTTGTTAAGCAATTGTTAAGTGAATCAACTGCAATTATTAAGTGGCTGATACAGACATTAAATGACTCTGGCTTTCCCCATTGACTTTTCCTTTGTGGAAGCTAGTTAGGAAAGTCAGAAATGGTGATTAAATGTCTCTGGACTGCTGCAACCATCATAAATACATGCCAGTTGTCAAGTGCTTGGATTTTGAACATTGTTACGAAGGGACATGGTGTCTCAGTGGCTAAGACACTGAGCTTGTCGATCAGAAAGGTAGGTGGTTCAAATCCCTAGCACTGCATAATAGAGTGAGCTCCTGTTACTTGTCCCAGCTTCTGCCAAGCTAGCAGTTCAAATGCTTCTGCCAAGCTAGCAGTTCATAAAAATGCAAGTAGAAAAATAGGGGATACCTTTGGTGGGAAGGTAACGGCGTTCCCTGCACCTTTGGCGTTAAGTCATGCAGGCCACATGACCATGGAGACGTCTTTGGACAGCGCTGGCTCTTTGGCTTTGAAATGGAGATGAGCATCGCCCCCTAGAGTCAGGAATGGCTAGCACATATGTACGAGGGGAACATTTACCTTTTTACCATGAGGATGTGCAATGGTCATACGTGTAAGTCACTTTTTTCAGTGCCATTTTGCAACTTTGAAGTATTGCTATACAAATGGCTGTAAATTGAGAACTACTTGTAGTAGATTATTTTTAAATGTGAGGCAGAAGTAAGATGGAGCCATTTTCTTGGAGAAAACAGTGTGAAGAAAAGTCAGCTCTCCTGCTATGTATAATATGGATTGCGGGCCACATCTTTAAGATGCAGGCAGTATTCTGAAAAAGCCTGAAGTCATATCTAGTGTAACCTTAAGCAATTTACTTTTGCTCCTTGTTTTGCTTATTCTGATGTTCTGTTTTGATTGCACTCCTGATGCTTCTCTTTAGTTTCATTGCTTGCTGGAGTTTTGGATTTATTTTTAGATTTGATTGGTTTTACTGTGGATCCTTTTTAATTTGTTTTGCAAATTGGGAGCTGTTAGATTTGAAGGACAGTCAAGACTCTGCTTAACAAATAAATATAATACGTTTTGAACACATAGCATTCTGTACTTGCTACCTGTTGCTATCATTCATCATGCCAACATGCAGTAAGTAAAGACCATTTCCACTGGAAGGAATTTTTCCATTTGTACAGTTGTCTGTAAAGTTTAGAATGTCTTTAAAAATTTGAACTTGGAATCCCTTAGGAAAAAAGGATACAGCAGAGATTTTAGGCTACATCTTTCACAATTGACTATGTCATCTGGGGTTGACAATATCTAGGGAACAGTCTGTTGCCAGCTCAGATTTATCATTATGAGTCCTTTATAATACCAATATGTTGGGTCAAAACCACTAGTATTTTTAGGAGAAACAAAGTGGGATCAGTGACATCCAAGGCAAACCATGGGGCAATGCTGAAGCCTCCAAGATGGCCTCAGTCAGGCCAGCTTTGGGTGTATTACTTGGAACCCTGACCCCACAACAATGCCAAAGTTACATATGAAATATGACATCATCATACAAATGTCTCTATTATGTAATGGTATCCTGATGTTTGATTCATATACTCAGTTTATAGCATTTGTATAATGATTTTGTTATGGATATATTATCATGCTGTTCTCCTCTGAGCAGAGATCCTTGAGGAAGATCCCAACTTCTTATACTGGGCTGAGTCAAATCTCATCAAATCCTTGCTCAGAAATTGATATTAAGAGTGCAAAACATCACTAATACAGCAGTATGCATGCAGCTTCCAGGCCCAGAAAATAACACCTTTTTCCTCGTTGTCTGAAAACAGCTCCAGAGTCTCTGGAAGGAAGCAGGTGCCAACGCTCCTCTTGAAATTGCCAGCCATAATTGGAAAGGAGAGATACATATAGTGAAAAAGAGAAGCTCTCTACTGTCTTTTGAGAAGCAGCTTATTAATTCAGATGCACCATGGGAGGGTAAATACAAGGTGCAAAGCAGCATGTACAAGTGGTGGGGGCGTTACAGAAGCCCACTGTGGAATTAATTATCATTGCTTTTGGAAACAAGCCAAAGCCCAAGGCTTCTCCCTGGAGAAGCAGCAGATAGAAGAAAAAAAAAACATAAAGAGTGGCAGAGAGCTCCAGATTCTGAATACAATAAATACCGTGGAAAGAAGTTAACAAAAAATGGCTTTGCTACTTTAAATATCAGTTGTGAAAATGAGCTAGTATATGAGCATTAAGTCCTGATGGGTGTTAAGAACATATTATTTTATTAATGAATTGGTTTCAGAACTTTTTGGAAGCCTGCTCAAAATGAATTGTCTTTCTGCTCACCTAAGATGTGCAGGTGAGCTGCAAGACATGGGGTTCCAAGCAGTTTACTCTAAAGCATAGAGGTCCCTTTTATCAAGCATTGGTTTTCCTGAAGTCCTTCAGAATATAATAATTAGTTCAGATCTCCTGACTGTTTCACACTCTCATCAATGCAAGGTAGCGTGTTCCTTCCAGTAGTGCCTAAGCATGTGCCTCACTTCTTTGGGAAGATGTTCCCAATGTTCTGGACTCTACAGTGTCCTCAAATTATTCTTTAGATTTAGTTCCAACACAATTAACTGGCTTCCAGGTAGAAATGACTAATACAAATGAAAGTTCCGGGAAGGAGAAATACATTTGGTGAGCAATATGGCACATGGATGGATGGATACATGTTTATATTTTGGAAATGGAACATCACCAGATGATTCCTCTCTTAAGAACAAAGCTGGGGAATTCAAGTAGCTACTGAAACTAAACTGTCCACATTCTATTATTTGGCAAGTTGTGTTCTGGTAGAGGCACAGTTTGCAAAATAATAATTACCCATGCAACAACTTTGGCATTATTATTAAAATAGTTCAGAAATAGAGTTGCTTTGGTAGCTCATTGAAATTGATCTTCTGAAGCACTGGTGCTTTTTCTGTATCCTAAAGCTTTCTTTTTAACAGTTCTAAATTAATGGGTAAAATGAGTATTTTTTTTCTCTTTTCCACCTTTGCATTAAAATTCCTGATAATGTTCCTGAGATCTGTATGTTAGGAAGGATTTATATGCCTTGAGTCACTCAGTTATATATTGGAAATCTTGGTAACAATGACCATAAAATCTATTGTAGACTTTTTCCCCCTCTCCCTTTTCAGCTTTCATTAGCAATAACTTGAAAACCAAAGATCCTTTACTTGAGGTGATCAACCTACCTGCATCTTCCAAACATTTTGGCTGCAGCTCCCCCAGAATCCATAAAGATTTTTATATGACCAAAGATAACATATCTATGCATGCATATTTCTACAGCAATATATCAGACGGGTAATTTTAATAACTATATTGTCAATGTTCTGACTGATGAATCCAACCAAAGGAAGCACAGCTGAGACAATCCAATCTCTCAATGCAAAGCTTTACTGAGTACATCATATCCCCAAAAATGAGGCAAAACCAGATCTATTTCCCGTGCAAACACATATAGTTAAAGTCCCGGTCTTCCCTCCCCCCACTTACACCAGGTCACATTGTCCAATGGAGATTTCTGGTATTGTTGTGAGAAAGTCTTTTTGGCTCTGGTAAAACACCTGCCAAAACATCATTGATTCCAGTGATGGTGAACCATTTTTGCCTTGGGTGCCAAAAGCCTCCTTTTCTTCCGTTCCTGAAATTTATGTTGTATGCTGGGCAGTTTTTCACCCTCTGGAGGCTTCGGGAGGCTTCCCTGAAGTTTCTGAAGGGCAAAAAGCAGCCCAGTGTGCAAACTGGAAGTCAGTTCCCAAACTTCCAGTTTATGCATTGGGCGGTTTTTTGCCCTCCGAAGGCTTCAAGGAAGCCTCTG